TAGCCACTTGCCACCTGTGGCTATTGGGCACTGGCAATGTGGCTAGTGCAACTGAGGAACTGAATTTTTAATTTAATTCACTGAAATGAATTTAAATTTCAGTAGCCACATGTGGTTAGTGGCTATGTATTAGACACTAAGCCTTAGAGAACATCCTTCCTCCATCCATGTCAGAGCTCAGAAGGGAAGAGGCAGGATGAATTGGAACGAAACAGCCCAATTGACCATCTGCATCAGGAAAGGCAGATGGTGTACAATGGGAAACAGGGAAGACCCCCGGTGTCCACCTCCTTCCTAAACACAGACATCAGCTGCCTGAACTCTGGCAACTGTCATCACCCAGTCTCCCTCTGAGAGCCATGCCCTCTGAAAAGAACCTCACAAAAGGTCTTCTGAGGCTACCAGGTGTCCCCAAAGCCACAGTCCAGGGAGGAAGGAAATAACTTCCACGCCTCCCAATAGCTCAATAGGGAACACTCTCCTCTGCCCCCGCCAACCCCATGGTTTTGGAGATCTCATATCCCATACTCCTCCCCCACTATGGAAAGTTTCTCACGCTGTGCCTGAGGACCCCAGCTCAAAGGTCCATGAATGACCAGGTCCCTGTGGGGTTTCAGTTCCACTTGTGTTGACTGAGTACCTCCCAGATCATCAGAGAAAAAGCTGAATTTAAATTTCCTGTCCAAGAACAATCTGTCACCTAACACAGTGGGAAAGCATCCAAGCCAGCTAGCAGGAGTGACAGGGCTCCACCCACAACCTCCAGCCCAGAAAGGGATCTGCTCTGCCCTGGCTGGGTGGCTCAGTTTGTTAGAGTGTTGTCCCGATACACCAAGGTTGCGGGTTCAGTCAGGGCACACACGAGAATCAATCAATGAATGCATAAATAAATGGAATAATAAATCTACGTTTCTCTCTCTCTAAAATCAATTTAACAAAAGAAAAGAAAGGGATCTGCTCTATTATGACAGATAGGGACTAGGTGAATGGGTCCTGATAAGGAGAGACCTAAACCAGCCTGCAAATTAACAGCAAGGCACAGACCCAAGACTAACGGAAAAGACTGAGTTTGTGGGAAAGTTAGTCTGTTCAGCAAATGCCTTCTCACCGGACTCAGATCACAGCTCAAGGCACCAGAAGCCAGACTGGCACCCAGTAGAAATGAGCAGGGCTGGAAAAACCCCCGCAGTGGGGAACTCCGTAGAGGCGGGTGGATGACAAAGAGCACTATCTGCCAGCCTGCTGCCAACTTGGCTCCTGTCCCTGCTCCTTCCACTCTAGTCCAAGACTCCACCTCGTGCTTCCTTCAGCTTACAGGCCATCCCAAGAGGTCGGCCTTGACCTGCTCCCTAGCTGTCAGGAGAAGGAAGGCAAGAGCCCGAGAGTTAATGCCCTGGACTAGCTGTGGTCCATGACGGACTTACCTAAATGCTGGACTTTCTCTGACCATCGTTTCTGCATCTATTTGTGGTGTCTTCTTTAAAAAATAAACTCTGCTTGCATGTTCATGTTCATCGCAGCATTACTTGCAATAGCCAAGAGGTGGAAGCAACTCAAGTGTGCATCCAGGGATGAGCGGATAAGAAAATGCGAGATACGCATACATCGGAATATATTCAGCCTTAAAAAAGAAGGAAATCCTGTTACGTACTACAACATGGATGAAGCTTGAGGATACTATGCTAAGAGAAATAAGCCAAATACTGTATAATCCCACATGTATGAGTTTTCTAAAGTGGTTAAACTCACAGAAGCAGAGAGTAGAGTGTTGGTTGCAGGGGCTAGGGAGAGGGAAATGCGGATCTGGTGTTCAATAGCAATATAGTTTGATTTCAAAAAATGCAAATATTCTGGAGATCTGTTGTACAACAATGTGAATAGAATGAACGCTACTGAACTGTAAACGTAAAAATGGTGAAGATGGTAGATTTTGTCATGTGTTTTTACAACAATGAAAACCTTACAAATAAATAATAAGTAAGTTAAGCTTTTCAGGTATTCTCTTATCATACTTTATTATTACCATACATGCCCATTATGGAAAAGGTAAAAAATTGAGAAATAATTTCTTGCAAGTTGTGTGAAAGTAAAATCTGCCCATAATTTAAATGTGATATAATAGGGATTATAGAAAAGTAACTGTTCCCACTCTGGTCCTCCTTCTCAGAAACAACCACGTTTATGCTTTTCTGTCTTTAAATGGTCATTGCCCTAACACAAAGTAATTTGCTGCTAAACTTTTATTTATCAACTTCAGCTATCTGGGGGTCCTCCCGAAGGAAGGTGAGGACTGAGCTCACTAACCCAACCCCTACCTTTCTCCCCAATCCTCTTTTTAGTTATTATATAATTTTCAGTTATTCTACTGGTTATTTTTGTAACTTTAAACAAGATACTTAAAACTCACTGGAGCCCTGGCCTGTTTGGCTCAGCGGTTGGAGCATTGGCCTGTGGACCAGAGAGTCCCGCGTTCAATTCCTGCTAGGGGCATGTACGCCCCCCCCAAAAAAAAAACAAAACACCTCACTTAATTTCTGGTTGAGTCCATTTTCAACACTCTCTTCACTCAGTAAAATGAGTTTATTAGGGGCCTGGACCTGTCTTTCCACTAAGATGTCTCCTTCCATACCTAACTTCTGTCAGATGTACTTCTAAATTTATATTGTCATGTTTGATAACATTTCATTTAATCTTTCTCTTCAACAGATTGATTCTAGAAGTTGAAAACCAGCCACCATGCTGGCATGACAGCGGTTCCCTCCGGTGGCAGCGCTATGGGTCCACCCTCACGACGGAGGGGACCTTGCAGAAGGCAAGTTTAGCAAATACATGGGGCTCAGGAGGAGCTCGCACTCTTTTTTTTTTTTTTTAATGTTTCTATTGATTTTAGGGAGAGGGAAAGAGAGAGAAACATCAGTGCGAGAGAGAAACATTGACCAGTTGCCTCCCGGATGCGCCCACCTGGGGATCAAACCCTGGCCAGGTAGCTCAGTTAGTTAGAGCGCCGTCCCGATAGGCCAAGGCTGCAGGTTCAATTGCTGGTCAGGGCACATAGAAGAATCAACCAATAAAGGCATAAATAAGTGAAACAACTAAGCGATGTTTCTCTCTCTCTCTCTAAAAAAAATATTAATAAAACAAAATCAGGCAGATTGTAGAAAATACCATCCCAACTGAGGTAAACTGTTGCTAATACAGGAAGGTTGCCTGTGATCCACCCAAACAAAATCTTCCCACCTGGGTGACCTCTATCATTAGGAATTCACTCCTTTGCATTAAGCAAAACCCTCAGCATGGTGTCATCTAACATGCAAATATTCCTGGGAGGGCCACCCATTAAGTGGCTGACACCTAGGTGCAACCCAGTTTTATCAGATCTCTGTTTTCCTGTGTGTTGGGAAGGGTGAGCCAGCTTTGGGTCTCATAAGAACAGGCCCAGCCCAGCCAGTGTGGCTCAATGGTTGAGCATCGACCCATGCACCAAGAGGTCGCTGGTTGGAGTTCCAGTCAGGGCACATGCCCAGGTTGTGGGACAGATCCCTGGTGGGGAGCATGCAGGAGGTGACCAGTCAATGTTCCCTCTCATCGATGTTTCTCTCTCTCTCCCTCTCCCTTCCTCTCTCTAAAATCAATAAAGAAAAAATATTTAAAACAAAAAAGAACGGGCCCAAGGCAGCTGCTGTAGCCCAGGGCAGCCCTGGCCTGGAAGGGAAGTGGGTGACAGCTAAGCTCTCCTCACTGTACAGTTCCCACTGTCACCTGTGACCAAAGCATTTCTCCAAGGCCGGTGAGGCTGATGGTGGGCAGCAGGGAGAAGCTCGAGGCGTCCAGCTGTGCCTGGATGGCAGCATCTGCTGCCCCAACCCAGCCCCCAGGCCCTCACCTGCCCAGAGTGGGTGAAGAAAAGGAGGGAAAAGGTAGAACGATAACCAGGGAAGAAGGCTGTCTCCTGCTGCCTCCAGGGAAAACCTGAAGCGGCCTCAGAAGAGAGTCAAGAGGTGCCCTGCCTGCTTCAAAATTCTGGGGTTGGCCTAAGCAGAGGAATGCTCTTTCTGCTCCCTGCTTTACTGCCCTGGCTTGTATCATTTGTGGATTATTTGCTTTGTGCCTGTCTCCACCAAATGACTACAGGCTCCATGAGGGCGGGGCCTGCCCTGGCTCGGCTGCACGGGATCCTCAGCCCCAGCACGGCAGCGCCAGGTTGCGTGTGTCCGGTGACCATCTGTTGACTAAACGAAGCAATAGGCAAATGTATGAGCACTGTGCTCTTTGGTTTGCAAATGCCCTTCTCCTCAGCAGATCTCCAACTTATTCATCACTGTCCTTCCACATACAGGCCGGGTAGCTCATCACAGGTGGACTGAACCCAACTGAAATGCGAAGGGTTGTCTCTTCAGCCAAAGCAAGGGTCTCTTGGGTTGGTGATGGCACTGGGTGCCCTCCAGTGTGTGTAGTATTGCCAGTCAGACTCCTCGAAGCCCAAGGGTGTAGAAATGGGTGCCTATGAAAGAGGAAGAGTGAGCCATCAGGAAAAGCAGCTTTTTGCGTCCATTTCACAATATTTATAGTATTAATGGATACGTTCACATCTGTGCGAAATGATGTTTGTACAAGACTTTTCACTGCAGCTTGGTTTGACATAGCAAAAGGCTGGAAACAGCTGAAATGTCCCTTCCACTGAGAATTGGTTATGTAAATGAGGGGACCCCCATATAATGAAATTCAAAACAGCCATAAAAGTAGGAGGGAGCCTTTAATATACCAATATGGAACATCCTCCAAGATATATTAACTGAGAAAAGTAAAGCACAGAACAGTGTGTACAATACATAGTATCCTTGGGAAAAGGCAGAACCGTAATACATGCATCTATAGTTACTCATATAGGTAAAAATCTCTCTGGAAAAAAAATAAGACTCTGGTAATGCTGGTTGTGGGGAAGGAGGCTGGTGGTGGGAACAGGGAGGGGGGATACTTCATTGTTTACCCTTTTCTTTTTTTCCCCCTAAAATTGCACTAAGATAAAGCAGACCTCTCTAATTGATGCGAATGTGTTGTTTAATTATCCTCACTAGACGTTCATTGGACAGTAACACAGCCCCAAGAAGAGGATGGCTATGTTTACCCTTTTCTGCCTCTTGAGTTGTGAATCGTAACTGTTACTTAAAATGTAAATACAATTGAATTTTGAAGTAAATAATAACTGCCTCTTTTATGCCAGGCTATATCATCTATTTTCTAGTTTTAGCACAACTCCATGAAATAGGTATCATTATTCCCATTTTCCAAATGAGAAAATGAGATTGGGAGAAATAAGGCAAGTACCTTAGTTCACACAATCATGAAGTGGTGGTGCTGGGACTTACCCCAAAGTCAGGCAGGGTTCCAGTCCCCCCGCCCATGGCTCTGAGGGCCCCTCTCTCTGTCTCAGTTTTCATTCTCCCAGCAAAACCAGTGGGCACTTTATCTCAGGGGACTGACTTATAAGCCCACTAAGGAGCCAGCTTAAAGAAGCCCTGCTCAGGCATGACAGAGCCCTAAGCAGGGGGGTTCTGAGAGCGTGTTTGAGTCTGTGTGCGTGTGTGTGTGTGAATGTGTGTGCACATGTGTGAGAGAGTATTACCAGTATTACAGAATGTGTGTGCACATGTGTGAGAGAGTATTACCAGTATTACAGTAAGCCTGTGTGAAAGTGTGTGAGTATGTGACTGTGTGTGACTTATGAAGTGTGCATGGGTATGTGTGAACATGTGTGAATTGTGAGTCTGAAAAGTATATGTATATGTATGTGTCGTTGTGTGTGAGCATGTGTGTGTATAACTCGTGAGGCCGGGAGGCCTGACATGGAGGAACCCAGTCACGGAGGTGGGCAAGAAGCTAAGGAGGCTGGGACAGGCTGCGGGTAGAGCTGGGAGGAGAAGCTATGGGGGAAGGCCTTGGGCTGTGGCTGGCCAGGCAGTTAGAAGACCATGGTGAAAGTCCTCCGGCTAGGGGCCCAGGAAGCAACAATCCTATCCCCAGCATCGATTTCCCTGGCCCCACCTACACCAGATGAGTGGGGGCTTGCCAGTGAGTCCCAGCTGGAGCAGTAACCGGATGGGACAACTTGGGTGTTGCTGCAGGTACAGATGGAAGAGTCCACCTTGCAGCTGGCAAGCTGCCTCCCTCCCTCCCATGCTCCATAGTTACTCCTGCACCAAATGCTAGCACTAGAGAGACAGGCTCCCTGCCTCTAACCCACTCAGACTGCAGGGAGGGCTGGGGCCTGGGGCAAAGGAGGGTGCATCTGGGCAGGATACGGGAACTGGAAGGGAAATGGAGGTGTTCCAAGAACAGATTGGGTATGGCTGTGTGCAAACTGCTGTGCTCAGAGGGCTGACTGTCTGCACTGCTGGCTGTGCCTCCTCTTCCCGTTGGAGCACTCTCCATGCCTCACCTGGACCAGATGTGCCACTGTCTCCCTGGGCTCCAGATGTTGACGTGGCAGTCCAGCCTCTGTCCTGATGTACACATGTGTGCATGTGTGTGTGTGTGTACCATGTGAGCAAGTGAAAGGGGTCATGAAAAGAGATTTTCTTGCCCTTGGAGCTAAAGGAAGCATCACCTCCTCTCAATACTTCTAAGGAATCCTGGGCCACCAGGATGCTAAGCAGGGAAGAGTGCTTTCGTGGGTTGAATTATGCTCCCCCCCCCCCCCAAAAGTTGTAGAAGTTCTAACCCTCAGAACCTATGAATGTCTTTATTTGGAAATAAGATTTTTGCAGATGATCACATTAGAATAATGTTATTAGAGTTGGCCCTGATCCCACACAACGGGCATCCTCATAATCGGGGAATTTGGACACCGGGAGGAGGATGCAAGCAGGACGCTGCATGAAGATCGCCAGCCAACTGCCAGGCGCTGGGCGAGGGCCTGGAACAGAGCCTTCCCTCCCAGCCCTCAGAGGGAACCAGCCCTATCGATGCCTTGATCTTGGAATTCAAGCCTCCAGAGCTGTGAAACAATAGACACCTGTTGTTCTAGGCCACCTAGTTTTTGGTACTTTGTTACAGCAGCCCTGGGAAACCAATCGGGCCCTATAACGACAGTCAAACACGAGCGCGTGAAGCCCGTCAGGCCTGACTCTGCGTGGGGTGGAAAGCACAGCGTAGGGAATACAGTCAGTAATACAATGGGTGGTGCCAGGAGGGTCCTGGAAATACCAGGGGAACACTTGGTAAAGTATCGGATTGTCTAGTCACCATGCTGTCCACCCGAAACTAATATAAAATGTTGAACATAAAAAAACCCAAAATGGCTTAAGCCAATGTAATAATAATAATAATAATAATAATAATAATAAAGAGCGACATGAAAAGAAAAGAAAAAGAACTGAGTTTGACTCCCAGCTGCACCACTTACTAGCTCTGCCACCAGGTGAGACATCAAGCCCTCTGAGCTGCACTTCTTACACTTCATGTGAGACTGGAAAGAGCGCCCCTCCCGGGGCTGTGGGGAGGGTCTGGGTTTGGCTCGGTGCCTGGCACAGGCAGTGTGACTGTTACTGCTACTAAGAACACACTTGTTTTCAGGGTCTCTGTCAAAATTCCTGGTGACAGAATTATCTCCCACCTACAAAAAATCCAAACATGAGAAACCAGAAAAGGAAAACAGAAGAGAAAGTCACATTTGGGAAGAGCCTGATGCACCAGGCATAGTATTGGGTGCTTTCCAGAATAATTTAAATCCGAGCTTTCAAAGGCTTAGGTGTGAGGGAAAGACCTACAGAAGGGGATGGAAGATGAGGGAACAAGTCTGGTATTCGAAGCAGGTGCCTCAAGAGGAAGGGACTCCCAGGCCCTGAGTGTCCGCACCCCACCCCACACCCCGCCTCTGGCCAGCCCCTGGCGTAGGGCAGCGCCGCGTGGGGGATGTGCAGGCCGCAGACCTCACCCTCCGAGTCACCCGACCGCAATAATGCGCCTTTCTGCCCTGGCGGAGACAGAGGGCATTGTGTGTGCCGGCTGCGGCCTGAGACCTGAGGCACAGCTCGCCTCAGAAAGGCAGGATTGTCTTGGGCAACCTCCCTGGCCTGGAGCTGCCACCCCACACGTCACAACAAACTCAGAACAGGCAAAGGGATAGTCACTCTCAAGGACAGAGCACCTCTGAGACTCTAGGCTTCCAGACCCCAAAGGAGTCAGGGTAGACACAGGAAGCAGGAGCTTTGAGGCAAACTGGATAACTCAGAGCTGAGGCTCCATTTCAAAGGCCCTTGGGATAGAGCCTTAAAAAATCTACAGTCAAGCCCTGGCCGGTTTGGCTCAGCTGTTGGAGCGTCGGCCTGCGGGCCAGAGTGTCCCAGGTTCAGTTCCCGCTAAGGGGCATGTACAAAAAAAAAAAAAAAAAATCTACAGTCAGAACATCTACCAGGAAAATCAATAGTTAAGAGCAGGGAGTGTTGGGTGGAAGTATGGGTTCAAATTCTGTCTAGATCATTTCCTGGCTGAGTGAGTTGGGGCAAAATTACCCATGAGGCATCGTTTCCTTCACCCCACAGACAGGGGGGTTTATGAGGATTAAACGGACTGATGTCTGGTCCCTTGGTAGACATTCAAGAACTATTCACTATTACAAGGATTATTAATCTGTACTGTTCCAAATGAGATGAAACGTGCAAAACACTTAACACAGAGCCTGGTAGCTAGTAGTTGCTTAGTAAATATTAGCCCATGCTCTGAGTCCCTGGCTTCTGCCTGCCCAGCCCCAGTTGTCGGGGGCTGGCCAAGTGGCATCTTTTCTTTAGGGACATCCTTTCTCCAGCAGAGAAAGGTACTCAGTGAATCTGCCTAGAATCGTTCTGGGCAAATGATCCTATTCTGTTTCCTCCTCAAGACTGGGCCCCAGCCAGCCTGCAGGCAGCTTTGGTTTTACAGGTGGGAACCAGAAGCCAAGTGCAGACAAGGACTTTGCCTGCCTCGGCTTTGCCCCCGGTGAAGGTGCACCCTGTGTTCTGCTGCGCCTCACCGAGGCCCAGTTCCCCTGATATTATCTTTCCTCTACCTTAGTCCAGGCATCTGGAAGAGCCAACAGCCTCACCCCAATCAGCAACCAAATGAGCTCCCAAAGGCTTGGCCAGCCAGGCACGGCCCTCCTGTCCTCATGGCTCAGGACCCTGCAGGAATCTGGAGGGAATGTGCCTCCTGGGCCAGTGCCCAGTTCTGACTGAGGCCAACCTGAGGGCCTCTCCTTGTGCCTCCCTCCCAGACACACAGGGCTTTACAGGCAGATTATGCCATGGAAACTATGCACACGGCCTGCCCTGTTCACATGGCCTCGGCAGAAAAAATAGCAGAGCCTTTTCTCTTTGCCAAGACCCACAGTCCTAGCAGGCCTGAGCTATCAAAGCAAGCCTCTTATGAGAAACAGGTCCCCGCAAATATCTCGGGAGGACTCCTCTGGGGGTGCTTCAAGTCGCTCCCCTCCGCCAGCCCACAGCCACCTGCCCCTCTCTCCTCGGAGATCTGGAGAGCTCGGCTGGACAGGAATGTGCTGTCTCACATGGCAGTTTCCTTCTGAGAACAAACCTCATTTCCCTTTCCCGGGATCCTCCTGAGACCTGGGACCCCCACTCTGATTCTCCTCCAGCCCACCCCCTCCTGCGACGAAGTGGACAGTCAACAGGACATGTCCAGTCAGAGCCCCCCTGCCGCACACACACACACCTATGCTGTCTGACATGCTAGCCCCTGGCCACATGTGGCAATTTGAATTTAAATGTTACTTAATTAAGAATTTAATTCCTGCCTTGGCCAGGTGGCTCAGTTGGTTGGAGCGTGGTCCCCGTGCACCAAAAAGGTTTCAGGTTTGATTCCTGGTCAGGGCACATACAGGAGGAAGCTGATCAATGTTTCTCTCTCACATTGATGTTTTTCCCCTGCCCCCTCACCATCTCCCCCCATTTCTCTCTAAAAATCAATAAAAACATATCCTCGGGTGAGGATTGTTTTTAAAAGTTCAGTTCCTCAGGTGTAGTAGCCACATTTCAAATGCTCAATGTCAACTGAGGTTAGTAACTACCATACTGGACAGTGCAGATACTATAAGGCATTTCCAGCTTCACAGAATGTTCTATG